TCTGAGAGTAGACCATGTCCATTTTACCTGAATTCGATACTACAGCTAACTTCTGACAGACAAGTCTCTTCTGAGCCCTCCCATCTTATAGGTTAGGAATCACCACTCGGCCGCTGACTATACCTACTCATATAATTACACCTTTACAAATTGGTAAAGACACGTTTGAGAAAAGGATAGGAGAAGGGGGAGGGGCAGGTTGAAAAAAGGAAAGAGATGAGATAGATCCCGCACTTTCTGACTTCTTTTATGCCACTGAAAGGTAAATCAATAATGACCTATGGAAAAAAGCGTAAATCTGAAAGCAATGCTTCAAATGCTGACATGATGAGTTTGAACTGCCCACAAACAATAAGTTCTCTGTAGTGCTAGATATACACTTTTATATTCTACATGCAAAGAAAACATGTATCGGACAACGAATGCAAAAAACACTAGCGATCTATAGTCAAGCGAATTTGTTCAGAAAGTTCAGTAACTAACTTCGAAAGTTATGATTTCTTAAGATAGACATACATGGCCATTTAAGTTCATCCAACCAGAGGTCAACGCTTGTTCATCCATAATCAACATATCCCTTCTTTTTCGATAAGACATTCTTGAATGTGTCGCAAATGCTAAATATGGTGGGCAACACGCTAGAACGCCGCATTGATCGTGGTTGTTTGTTGCGTGGACCGCATAGCGGGACAATGTTCGTTGGTAGGGTCGGAATTAGCGGCTGTGGCAACAGGAACAGAGTGGGATACGACAATTTCGTATCAGTCTAATTCAGCGACGAGATCTAACATCATTCCGAGGCGAAGAGCAAACACTTAACCCTAGCCATAAACTACTAAAAATTAAAACTGCGGGACTGTCAAAAAAATACCACAAAAATTCTACCCGAGAGCTGAAGCCATTGTGTCGCATACTATACTTAGTATTTGCGACACATGATTGACTTCTCTGCTCCATAACTAAGCTTGACACCCCAAAAAATTCCATAAACATTGCCATATGAAGGCAATAGCAAAAAACTGATACTCAAGCGCAAATTACCGTCTTAAACTAATCTTATGAGATAAAGATTGTAAATAGATTTCTCAACCATAGATCGTTGGAAAACTCGACACTAACTACATTGGTAACAAGCGGTATGATGAATTCGTAATTTCTACACGTGTGAACTACACGCACTTAGAGAAAGAAAAACGTAGTGTTATGCCCGAGCGGTTGTTGCAGTGATGCATACGAAAGTTTTCAGAAATTAAAATACTAGGTTTGAAGAGAAAGCGATGTCA